CTCACATGAGCTGTGAGCCCATCAGAGTTCCACTCAGATGTGGAAGATTCCATAATCCCCACGAGACTCGAAAGAACTCCCAACTAACTCTAGCACTTCAGAACTTTCGTTCGGTTCTGCTCTCAGAACTTTGGTTCATGTCTGGAACGTTGTTCTTCTTGGAACTCTTGTTCCGCTCTGGAACTTGTTCTGCCTGGAACTAGGAAGTGTTGACCCTTTTAAAGAGGTCACTTCCGGTTCCTCTGAGAACTTCCTGATTGGTTGAACGAACCAACCGGGGTGTGGTTTTAGTGACGTCAGAGGGTCATTACATGTCAAGGAGAAAGCATAGATGTTTAAGAACAGACAGAAAGATGTTTTGAAGAACAGAGACATTTAGGAGCCAGTCTTCCTTCTATCTGTCTGATAGAGATAAACATGACATTTCGTTCCGATAAACATGTTTTTGACCGTTCCTTCACTTTTGACCGATATCACAACTTGGTCATTTCAGACAGAAAATCAAAAAATGCATAATTTGTCACGATCCTCAGTGTTGGAACCCAATTGCAGAGAGGCGAGCGAGGCAGGAGTTTAAAAATAAAAATAATTTATTTTTAATAACAAAACAAAAGGCTGTCGGTGCAGCAAAACTTACTTGGGCAGATAGGATCAGAAACAAGGCAGAGCAGATCATCAGGTGGACAAGCAACAGACAAGACAGAAGAGGACTGAGATGTCTGTGAACACAGAACAATGACCGGACCAGGAGTGAAGGAGAGAAAGGCTTTTTATAAGGCAGAGGGAGAGTGAGTAATGAGAGCACCTGGGCAGGTGGCTGATGAGGGACAGGTGTGAATGATAAAGACTGAGTGGAGAGGCAGACTGAGGAGTGAGTGGAAAATAACAGAATCAGATAAACAGAAAATCACACACAGAGCAGAACAACAAAAATATAAAGAGCAGACAGAGACAGAACCTGTCAAACAGAACTCAGAATGTAATTAAAGTGATATATTTACAAAGTACAATGAGAATACTACTATACATGAGGCAGGGATCAAAGCACCTTGAAATGGAAGGAAATGATTTAGTTTGTGGGATGATTGTTTGAAGATATTAATGTTGGTTCCTGGTTGCAGCTTGAAGGAGAAGGCAGAGGCTTAGGCAGATGGGGGGGGCAGCGGGGGCCGCTGACCGTGACATAATTACTTGTAACAGGCATTTTAACTTGATTTCTACTTTGAAGGAGGATTAAAAATCATTTATACTGTTTCACAGTTGATTTAAAATGAGTAGTTCACTTCAACATTTAAAATGGTTTGAACTAAACACACTTTGATTATCAAGATATTGTAAAATAGTAATGATAATAAACAGAGAGTGTTCTTTCAATTGATCCGTGCAGGACACACCTAGAAAGTCTCTGGATGGAACTTAATCTGTGTTTCTGGACTCAAATCAATGAAATAACAGTTCCTGTCCCAGGATCAGGTTTTTGACCTGAGGCTTAGTTCACTACAGTTGATTAGGTCATCCATCCCCCAGTCCACAACTGATCCCTCTGTCTTTGTCCCTTGCTCAGCTGTCTTCAAACAGTTTGAACCCATTTCACTCCCATATCTAAACAAAGTTGTTGGTCTGGTTCCTCTGCTGACCTCATTCCTGCGTCGTTTTTCAAACAAGTTCTACCCATGATTGGGCCCTCTGTTCTTACTATTATAAATAGTATTGTGACAAGTGTGGTTCCCGATGTTTTCAAACATGCAGTAGTTTATCCTTTAATTAAGAAACCTGGACTTGACCCGTGCTATCAGGTTTTAAACGAGGTCAATGTGGGTAAACCCAGAACAACAGCAGGCTCTGAAAAGTTTATAATAATATGTTTATTTAAACCAGGGAAGGATGGGGTCGGGATCTGAAAGTGGTAAGAACGAGGATTAGTTTTCTGTGGAGCAGATTCGTCAGGTAAGTTGGAGAGTAATGTCTTCTTACAGGTGGGTGCAGAGTCTTTAGCTCTGAAGGTGAGTTTCCAGGTTCCAGGTGTATTTACAGGTGCAGGTGTACAGGTGAATATTTACAGGTTTGTGGAGGAGGCAGACAGGCAGCGTGCAGATGGTCTGAGGTGAGTAGCTCTCAGATCTCAGGGGAGTGTTTCTCAGGAGGCTCAGGGAGTTCCACTCTGGAGGCAGGTAAATAAACAAACAAACATTAACAGGCACAGATAACCAAGACTAAGTTCAGGCTGAGCTGCTTTTACCAAACATAAGCGTTGCTTCAGCGAAGTCCTGATCCACAGTGAATCCTTATAAAGCCAGTGAGCAGATGAGTCATCTGTAGCAGGTGAGTATGATTAGTGCTGCCAACCAATCAGGGAGAAAAAAAAAACACAGCAGCAGCAGCAGCTGAAATGCCTCACGTGCAGCACAGTGGCACAACTGGTAGAGCTGCTGCCTCTCAGCGAGCAGGTCCCTGGTTCAAACCTCGGTCCAGGGGCCTTTCTAGGTGGAGTTTGCATGTTCTCTCCGTGCATGCGTGGGTTTTCTCCGGGTGCTCCTGTTTCCTCCCGCAGACCAAAAACATGCATGTTAGGCTGATTGGTAACTCTAAATTGTCCCTAGGTGTGAGTGAGAGAGTGAATGGTTGTTTGTCTCGTTTGTCTCTATGTGGCCCTGTGATGGACTTGCGACCCATCCAGGGTGTACCCCGCCCCTCACACAGTGATTGCTGGACATGGGCACCGGCGACCCCCGTGACCCAAAATGGAATAAGCGGGTAAAGATAATGGATGGATGGATGGATGGATGGACTTGACCCGTCGACTTGCTCAAATTTCAGACCAATCTCAAAACTTCCCTTCCTGTCCAAAATCCTGGAGAAAATAGTTTTAATTCAATTAAACAAGTTTTTGAATGAGAACAGAATCTTCGAGATTTTTCAATCTGGTTTTAAGCAACTCCACAGCACTGAAACAGCATTAGTAAGGGTTTGTAACGATATTATGATATCAAACGATTCTGGTCAATTTGTGGTACTTGTGCTCCTGGACTTTACTGCTGCTTTTGATACTGTTGACCACAGTATCCTTATATCATGGCTGGAACAGTGGGTTGGGATCACAGGTGCTGCATTAGAATGGTTCCGCTCATACCTGAGTGGCAGGAGTTTCTGTGTCAAGGTTGGTAATAATGTATCTGCCTCATTACCTCTTTCTTGCGGGGTCCCACAGGGTTCGATTCCTGGACGCCTTCTGTTCTAACTTTATTTGCTTCCACTGGGGTCCATCCTGAGGAAACATGGTCTTTCATTCCATTGCTATGCTGATGACTGCCAGATGTACCTGCCTGTGAAACCAGCAAGTGTTTGCTCCATTCACCCTCTGTTAAAATGTCTGGACAACATTAAGGCCTGGATGGCTTCCCATTTCTTAAGTTTTAACAATGAGAAGACTGAAGTCATTGTCTTTAGCCCTAGCTCAACTGCCGCCACTGATCCTGTCAACCTGGACTTGCTTCAGCCATATCTGAAGCAGTCTGATAAAAATCTCGGGATGGTTTTAGACTCTGACTTCAAGTTTGACAAACAAATCAACTCTGTTCTACAGAAAAGCTTCTTCCAACTCAGACAGGTAGCTAAGCTCAAGCCAGTATTGTCCAGACCCGACCTTGAGAAACTAGTCCACACCTTTGTCACGACCCGATTGGACTATTGCAATGCACTCTATGCTGGGATCAGCCAGGCCTCCATCTCATGTCTTCAGCTCGTCCAGAATGCTGCTGCTCGGCTTTTAACCGAAACTCGTAGGTCTGAACATATTACTCCAGTTCTGTCCTCCCTTCACTGGCTCCCTGTTCGTACAAGGATAGTCTTTAAAATTCTTCTGTTGACCTTCAAATGCTTAAATGGCCTCGCACCCCTTTACCTCTCTGAGCTTCTGGAACCTTACGTTCCCTCTCGGGCCCTGAGATCATCAGATCAGCTGCTTTTGGCTGTTCCAAAAACAAGACTGAAGCTCAGAGGAGATCGGGCTTTTTCAGTCATGGGCCCCAAACTCTGGAACAACTTGCCCCCCAACATCAGGCAGGCCACCTCCCTTCCTCACTTCAAATCCCTGCTGAAAACACATCTGTTCTTGCAAGCATTTCACACAGTGTAAATTGATCTAGTGTTTTTTTTAATCTGTGACCCTATGTTTTAAATGTTTTTTATTAATTCTTCAGTTATTATAATTAGCTTTTTATTAATTATTCAGTTATTATAATTAGCTTTTTATTAATTCTTCAGTTATTATAATTAGCTTTTTATTAATTCTTCAGTTATTATAATTAGGTTGTCGTCGTCGTCGTTGTCGTCATCATTGTCGTCATCGTCGTCGTCGTTGTTGTTGAGCACTTTGATAACAGGTTCTGTTTTAAATGTGCTCTATAAATAAAGTTGACTTGACTTTAATGTATCTCAGGACAATAACAATAAATATATAAAATTAAAGGGACACTTCAGATTTTTTAAGCTTTAATCTGTGGAAAGGTTGTGAACAATAAGTATTTTACCTGTTGTAGATAGCTCTTTGACCTATCTTTCTTTGGTCCTAGCCTTTTTTCTAAACTAGCTGCTAGCTTGTCAATCTAGTCAGATCTAATCTCATTTTCTCCAAACTGTTACAGTTTAAGGAGTCATCTAAAACAGGTGGGATATTTTGTTCATAACCTTTTCATAGAAACCAAATTAAAAAAAGAAGGGGAAATAAAGAAAAAAACGAAAGAGATAGAGAGAAAAAAGAAGGCCTCACCTGATCTGTCAATCCATCTCTCACTCCAACCTTCTATCACTTATGAACAAGATACCCACCTTTGCCTCCACCTAAGGCAAAGTCTCCCCTCCAAACTGGAGGGCATTCCACCCATTTCTGGTCAAAGGAAAGATGAACATTAGAATTGGACAGTTTCTGGTATTTTGCTGCTGGCTAAGTAGAAGTACTTTCAATTTCAACTTAATCCTCTGTCGTTTTTATGTGTTTTCAGGCATGGAAGAAGCTCACTGTGATCGCACAGAGTTCCTCAGTAACTATTTGACTAGTGTTGATGACATCATCCTCATTCCTGGATCTCTTGGCAGAATACGCTCCAGATATCCCAACAACCCAAAATGTGAGTGACCAACAAAATCATGTTTTCTGATACTCTTATTATGTTAAATTCAAAGACATACTACTTATATACAAACTGCACAAAATGTAACATACTATCACACCAAAAATTAAATCAATCTAAAAAATAAATAAATAAAAATAAATTAAATTAATTAAATTTTAAAAAATTAGCTCAGTCAATCAATATGTAAAACTGACTATCTGTTTTCTAAAGTCTATGAGCTTTACAGTACTCCCTCACTATATTGCTGTTCACTTTTTGCAGCTTCACTATATTGCAGTTTTAAAAAGAAAAAAATCAGTCTTTTTATTGATTTTTTTTTTTTTTTTTTTTTTTTTTTTTTTAAAAAAAAAAAAAAAAAAAGAGAGAGAGAGCACACAGAACAAAACAAACAAAAAAAACCTCCCACCTTTCTCCTCCCATACCGGATCAGTTACACACACAAATATACTAAACAGGTATCAACAAGTTTTCCACATACAACATAAAGGGCTGTCAAGTGTCCCAAAATCTTTGAACAGAACCCTTCAGGGTATATCTGATTTTTTCCAAAATAATATGATTCAATTCAATTCAATTCAAAAATACTTTATTAATCCCAGAGGAAAATT